ATTTAGGTCTATTCAATCGCACTTGTCCCAGTGTTATTGTCATTGTGTAATATCTCAGTCTATTTAATCACAATTGTCTCAGTGTAATTGTCTTTGTGTAATATCTAGGTCAATTTAATCACAATTGTCTCAGTGTAATTGTCATTGTGTTATATTGGACTATTTAATCACACTTGTCTCAGTGTATTTGTCATTGTGTTATATTGGTCTATTTAATCACACTTGTATCAGTGTATTTTTCATTGTGTTATATTGGTCTATTTAATCACTCTTGTCTTAGTGTATTTTTCATTGTGTTATATTGGTCTATTTAATCACTCTTGTCTTAGTGTATTTTTCATTGTGTTATATTGGTCTATTTAATCACACTTGTCTCAGTGTATTTTTCATTGTGTTATATTGGTCTATTTAATCACACTTGTCTTAGTGTATTTTTCATTGTGTTATATTGGTCTATTTAATCACAACTGTCTCAGTGTAATTGCTATAGTGTTATATCTAGGTCAATTTAATCTCTCTTGTCTCAATGTAATTGTCATTGTGTTATATTGGTCTATTTAAGCACAATTGTCTCAGTGTAATTGTCATTGTGTAATATCTCAGTCAATTTAATCACAATTGTCTCAGTGTTATTGTTATTGTGTTATATTGGTCTATTTAATCACACTTGTCTCAGTGTATTTGTCATTGTGTTATATTGGTCTATTTAATCACAATTGTCTCAGTGTAATTGTCATTGTGTTATATCCAAGTCGGTCTATTTAATCACACTTGTCTCAGTGTATTTGTCAGTTTGTAATATATTGGTCTATTTAATCACACTTCTCTCAGTGTAATTGTGTTTTATTGGTCTCTTTAATCACAATTGTTTCAGTGTAATTCTTATCGTGTTATATTGGTCTATTTAAACATAATTGTCCCAGTGTAATTATCATTGTGTAATATATAAGTCTCTTTAATCACAATTGTCTCAGTGTAATTGTCATTGTGTTATATCTAGGTCAATTTAATCACACTTGTCTCAGTTTAATTGTCGTTGCGTTATATCTTGGTCTATTTAATCACACTTGTTTCAGTGTAATTCTTATCGTTTTATATTGGTCTATTTGAACATAATTGTCCCAGTGTAATATTTCGGTTTATTTAATCACAACTGTCTCAGTGCAATTGTCATTGTGTTATATCTAGGTCTATTTAATCACACTTGTCTCAGTGTAATTGTTATTGTGTTATATTGGTCTATTTAATTACACTTGTCTCAGTGTAATTGTCATTGTGTTATATTGGTCTATTTAACCACATTTGTCTCAGTGTAATTGTCATTAATTTATATCTAGGACTGTTTAATCAAAATTGTCCCAGTGTAATTTTAATCGTGGAATATCTTGACCTATTCGATCACACTTGTCTCAGTGTTATTGTTATTGTGTTATATCTAGATATCTTTAATCACAATTGTCTCAGTGTTATTGTGTTATATTGGTCTATTTAATCACAATTGTCTCAGTG